GGTGGACTAATTCCTTGGCCTCCTAGGTCGCCAGATTTAACCCCATTGGATTTCATCTTGTGTGTGAAGAACATTGTCTACCAGGTTAAGGTCAACGACCTTCAAAACCTGAAAGCCCGCATAAGGGACGCGGTGGCTACGGTAACACCAAACATGCTCCAAGCAATGTGAAACGAGGTCGAACAACGTCTGGATATTTGTCGTGCCACCAAGGGGGCCCACACGAATTTTTTTTGAGAAAGTTATATAGTCAGAAAAACTTTGATAGTTTCTCTTTGTAATGGCTTAACCCATAAATGTGTATAATAAATTCTTTCTGAGATACAATTATTTTATTTTGGATACCTTTCATCCGGACACTCTGTATTTCGGTGGCACGAAGGCTGTAAATGGGCGAGAAAGCGCCGAAGACGAACAGCGAACTGGACGCTCCGTCTCTGTGAGAGCAAACGCAGACGTACACAATGTGACGGGTTTTCATTCGTCAAGATCGACGTGTGACAATTTCAATGACCACCCTTGAACTTAATATTAATTAATGTACGGTTCACAAAATTGTTGCACAGGATTTGAATATGAGAAAATTATTTGCGAAGATGGTCCAGAAAATCTTAATTCCTTTCAAAAAGGACGTCGAGACGAAGTTTCGAGAGAAATGCTTGAACGGCTCGAAGCTGAACCGTGTTTTCTTAATCGGGTCTTAACAGGTGACGAAAGTAGGCGATTCGAATATGACCTGAACCGAAAAGGCAGCGTGGGGGTGTGGCACACACCTCACCCTCCGAGACAGAAGAAAACTCGCATTAGCAAACCAAAAAACAAGAAAATGATCATCATAATTTTTCGATTTTCGCGTGGTAGTTCATAAAGAATTTGTACCACTTGGTGTCACAGTGAATCAAAAAATTATCTTGAAGTCCTGGACAGTCTGAGAAGTGGATAAAGCGAATTCGACTGGAAATTACAGACAATTGGATCTTTCGAACTTCGTCACGCCAACGTGCCCGCAAACACAGCACAGTCAGCTCGTGAATTTCTGGCAAAAACAAGTGCATGCCTGTCCTTCCGTATGCTCGTCATGCTCCAGATTTGTCACCTTGTGAATTTTACTTTTCTCAAAATTAAAATCGAGAGCCAGGGCCTATCAAACACTTGACAGCGTCCAAAAGCTGTAACCGACGCCTTCAAAATCCTAACAGAAGCAACTTTCAATCCCGCTGTGAAAAATTCGTTGGGTGAAGTGCGTTTCATCAGGGAGATATTACTTAGACGGGGACAGTGTTGAATTCGACGAATAATTTAATGAATGACTTCGTACTAATTTAATTTCCTTTCTTATTTAACATTCATCGTACATAATTACATAACACACGTGTATTCAGAGTTTGCTATTATTTGTATATACCCCACATAGATAGATAGGGAGAGAGACAGAAAGATATATAGATAGAGAGATAGATAGATAAGGAGATAGAGAGAGAGACAGACAGATATATAGATAGATAGATCGAACAATAGAGACAGATAGATAGATAGAGAGATAGATAGAGAGACAGATAGATAAAAGAGAGAGAGATAGACAGACACATAGATAGAGAGATATAGATAGATAGATAGATAGATAATTCTGCAATCAAGCGATCTGTCAAATACTGTAGATCTAATACTATATAAAACGTACCATAAATAATACTGCCTTCTGTGATTGACATTACCGATGATCAGGTGCAATGTTTTGCCTCTATTTTCAATCCTGAAAATCTACGGACTAAACGGCTTCAAACCTCGGAAGACATTACTCTCCAAGCCATCGAAATCTCGCATAGGCTTCTGGTACTATCAGGCATCTGTGCAACAGGCTTTCACGCCACGCGGAATCTCGGTTTCTCACAGGCGGAGTTAAACACCTATTCAGGATTCTAAGGGCCACCTTTCAGGGAGAGCGACAAACCTTGTCCACACTGTGGCAGAGTAGGCCAGCTCTTCAGCCCCAACACCCGGAGTGTTCTCGCAAGCTGGCGCTCCTATTTCCATACAAACCACAGACGCTAAACTCCTTCTGTACAGTTACATCAGAAAGTTGTACCACACTACTAACTACCAAGCTCCACACTCACAATTTCGGTGCAAAATATCGAAGGGCAAAGAGTAGTCTGGGGTTTATACGTTGATACGGAACTGTTTATCTATGGCTGGACAGTCTTTTGTTGGGCCTTGGCCGCTTTTTTTGTTTCTTAATCCTATACACAGTCGGTATGACTCCTTGAAGGGGGGCCGCTACCTACACACAAGAAAACATAAACATAGAATGAACGCAAACAGACATCCATGCCTCGATTGGGATTCGAACCCAAGACCTCAGTGTTGGAGAGGGTGAAGATTGTTCATGCCTTAGAGGGCGCGGTCACTGTGATCGACTGAACAAAATTCCAATCCAAACAAAGTAATGTTGGAATAAGCATTAAATAAATAGATAAACGTCAAAATGGAAGGGGTACGGGATATATTGTACGTCGGGCCAACTCAGTCCTATAGCGGCAGGGTACGGGCTGGGCTACCGGGGTTCAGTTCCCAGCAAGAGCAAGAGGTTTTCTCTTTTCATAGCTCCAGTCCGGATCTGAGACCCTCCCAGCTTCCTGTTCAATGGGTACCGTGGGTAAAGCAGGGTTGGTTTAGGCACTATGCTAGAAGCCTGAGGGTCACGGGTTCGAGTCCCAGTGAGGGATTAATTCTCCCAGCCGCAATATGTCCCTCGGGTCGACTCAGACTCTAACAGAAATGAATACCAGGAATATTCCTGAGTTGTAACGGGCGGCCGGCGCGTAAGGTTGACAACCTCACCGCCATCTGTGAGCCGATTTTTTAGAGAAATGTGGAAGCCTTGACGTCTCACAACCCTATGGGATTTCATGGCTTGGTACAGGGATAACTGTAGCTGTACCGTGGGTAAAGCGGTTTAGAAGCTGACCATTTACGTCCAACAAATGCAGAAGCAAAGAACGGTGGAGCTATACCTCCACTTCCCCTAAGTCTTAATTAATTAAGCACAGGGACAAATTTTCGTCTGGACATTACAAATGTATTACAAGTGCTACAAATGGCAGTTGTTTACTAATTACGATCCAAGAGACATCGAAGTTAGCTAAGAAGCCGAAAATGATAAAGAAATTGTGAGAATTGTAGGTAGTCAATTAGAACAAATAATACTCGTAGGCATTTGATATTTCTACATTGTTGTTGAAAGTTCACAAATCCTTGAGAAGCATAATTAGTATTAATTTTACGGAAATACTAAAATAAGACAGCTCAATAGCCGTACGTAACGTAGAAAAGGATGAATTGCGAGATAAGAAGTTTCCTTCTCGGTTGTAATAACGTGTAATCTGACAGAACGTAACAGACGTTTCAATGGATCATTCTGCCTCCATTTCAGGGTAGAATTGCAAGTTATTTTTCATTCCTGAAAATGGAGGAAATAAGTTTCTTCTAAATGTTATAACGACTTAACAAAATAGGCGTTTCCA